ATTTATTAAAATCTACATATTTTGCACTGTTTTATGTATTCAAGATCTTTCAGACTACATAAAATCAAGTGAACATATGGTTGAACTCGTATTGAATAGCTCGTGTGAAATTCACACTGAATGCGTGAAAACCATACTCAAAGACCACAAAAATTAAATGTATGGTCAGTTATAGTAGGTACTTATTTAATTGGGCCATTTTTTATCGAAAGACATTTAACGTCAGATAGTTGGTGTAAATGTTCGGCGTTATTTAGATGAGATATTTCCCGGACGATAAATTGGTAGACAAGGTAGAATTGAATGGCCTCCACGTTCACCCGATCTCAATCCTAAAGATTATTTTTATTAGAGACACTTGAAAAATTCAGTTTACAAAACTTAACCAGCAAGTCTTGCATAGCTAAGGCAATGAATTATCGATGAATCTCGAATAATTTCTAGACAATCATGGAGAAATGTGGTAGACGCATTCTACCATCGATTAGAGTGCTGTCAACTCACAAATGGAGCACATTTTGAACACTTAATAACGTAACTATTTTGTTAAAAAATATTTTAAACTATGAATTGTTACGTTTTAATGTATTTGAAAATAGTTAGTATTAAAAAATGTATTGAAACAATTTAGGCGTTGCCAGACTTCTGTTTTATATATTTAAGACCTTCCAGACTACATAAAATCATAAGTGTTACATATGGTTGAACTCGTATTTAATAGGAGATTTTAATAATGACTGAATATACAGGGTGATGCATTTGAAAAACCAAAGTTACTAGTAATATAAGAGAAACTGAAAATCTGGCAACATTGTAAATACCAAATATGGAATTTCCGTATCACAAAATAGGGAATACGGAATTTCCGTATCCCCTATTTTGGGGATATAGTAATTGCATAAAAATAGAGAGAGAGAGAGAGAGAGAGAGAGAGAGAGAGAGAGAGAGAGAGAGAGAGAGAGAGAGAGAAAAGTGGAACTGTTAGATTAATATAAATACCTAGCACATGAAATTATGATTGGTACTGATAAATCAGACACATGAACTAAACAGAAGAATCGGCCTTGGGTGGGCAGCATATGGAAAACTTAGAGAAACTTTTAAAGCTGAGCTACACACATGCTTGAAGAGAAAAGTATGTCATCCAGAAAAACTTACTTTTACAAAAGCTTCTGCTACCAAACTAAGAGTCACACAGAGAAGAATGGAGCGATCCATGGTAGGAATAACTTCTTACTTAACTTAAATGTTAAGGGACAAAATAAAAAACGAAGAGGTCAGGAGAAGAACCAAGGTGACAGGTCATCGAAAGGATACCCAGACTAAAATGAAGATGGATAGGACACATAGCTAGAATGACATAAGCGATGGACAACAAGGTTATTGGAATGGAGACCAAGGGAGACAAGAAAAGTGTCGGTCAATCACCTACACGACGGGCTGACGATGCAGACAAAATAAAAACTGGATGAGAGTGACGAAAGACAAACGGGGTTAGAAACACGAGGAAGAGGCCTATGTTCAGCAGTAGACTTTTAAGACTGGATGATGATGAGTATACATGTATGTTGTTGATTTAAAGCAGTATATCCTGTCACATTTCCTTTAAACATGGGTATTTTGTTTAAATTAAATAAAACCTTCGATATTTTTATATTCGTATTCATTAATAATGTTCCATGTTAACTATTCTTTGTCGTCGTACATCAGCTTTTTTAAAAAGGAAGAGAGAATAATAAGAATAATGAAAAAGAGTAAATAAATTGGTTTTTGTGAGCAAAGTTTTGCGTGTCATAACGTATGCGTGCGCGTGTGCGTTTTTTTATTCCACTACTTGGACAACTACCGATTTTTTGTCCAAAAAAATAATTTACTTTATTATTTTGTAACGTATTAGATCATATCTTTATGAGAAATATTAATAAGTTCTTTAACAAAACAACACTCCAAATGGAATGTGAAACACACAAAAAACATTAGTCACTAATTCAACAATGAGCAAATTTGATTTCTTATCTGACTCAATATTGTAATTAGTTTTTTTGGCAAATTTCAAAAGACTAAAGACTGAATACAAGACTACGTTAATTTTGTATTCAATTTTTAAATTCAATCTTGGCACGACATGGTGCTAATTTGCATTAATCATATAATCGGCACGCAAAAGACTCAGCGGTGTCTATGAAACCTCTATTTTTCCGTAAGAACTTTTAGCTGATTAATCTATAATATAATTAAGGTGATAGAAAATTAGAATTTGTCTTAACGGTAGTTTAGCGATAGACGTTTTACAATATAATACTCGAATTAAACGAATAATCAAACAAATAGATGCACTATTAGAGAAAATTGAGAGCATTAAATGTTTAGGCATGACATTTGACAGCAGATTATCCTGGAATCGCCACATTCATGATCTGAAAAGTACTTGTCAATCTGCACTTAATATTATAAAAACTGAAGCACACAACACTTGGGGAACAGACAGTAAAACTCTTACTCTTATGTACAAGCCATTGATCAGGTCCAAACTCGATTACGGTTGAATTATTTACGATTATGCAAAACCATATGTGATAAAAAAATTTGATTTAATACAAAATAGTGCTGTACGAACTACTAGGTACCTTTTATACTAGCCCTACTGGAAGTACAAAATGTGAAGCTGGATAAATCTTCCTGGAATTTCGTAGAAAACAACTAACACATTAAGTAAATTTTTAGGAGAGACAAAAACATTCCTAAGAAAATATGAATATTGTTATATTTTTATTAATTCTTATTTATTGTTCTTATCTTAATTTACTAAAGGTTCAATATTTATAACACTCACGAATTTATCAAAGTCTTTATTACTACTAATTTATTTTACACTTAATAATTTATTTACGTGCGATACAATTTACCGCGAGACCGGACTTCTTGTTGACTGCCCTTTTCAATAAAATCCGTGTTATTTATATATAAAATGCCGTTATCTAGAAGGGTCTGGGGATGCACCGATGACGTTACATCCATTAGGTGACTCATTCAGCTGGTCTAGAAAAGTCGATCGCTTTCTCGTCTAATAAAATTCGAAGGGCTCGGGCTGTCGACTGCACTATTGTTACCTGGACTGGTTTTTCGACCCTTTTGTAGAATTTGGTAGTATTTAACCTAGAACATTCGTGAATGAGTAAATATGTTTACAGTTTTTATACGCCATAATATTTATTATCGTAACAATATATTTTATGAAAAGTTTTTTGTATTTCTAAACATATATTTTTATTCCGTACAATTTGAAATGTAAATGTAATTTGAAATCTTCGTGGACTATAGGAAGCTTACGATTCTGTTAGCAGAGAAGCATTGTGGGAGAACATGGTAGAAATGAGAGTACCTCGAAAGCTGGTACGATTAGCACAGGTGAGCACAGAGAACGCTTCCGCATGGATCAGAATTGCCAGCACCACATCGGAGGAATTCCTTAGTGGCACCGGGCTTAGACAAGGAGAGCCTATCGCCCCCTTGCTATTTAATTTTGCACTGGAACATGCGGTAAGGAAAGCTCAACCACAACTGACAAACGGAACAAAAATACTATTGGCGTTTGCGGATGACGTGGACACAATTCCACAATCCACCAGAGATGCAAAAGAAGTTTTCACCCTAATCGAAAACGGATCCAAGGAAGTTGGTCGGAAGGTCAACGAGGACAAGACCAAGTACATGGTAGTTACGAAGAACCCAAGGCCAAGGGTTGGACAAAACGTAACAATCGATGAATACAACTTTGAAGTCGTCAAATAATTCATATACCACAGCATCGAGTTAGCATCACAGTAAAGCTCTATCTATCTATCTATAGGCCTCCCCTGTTAATCTCCATTGGTCTCTATTTTGGGCGATCTGCATCCAGTCCTTTCCTGCCGTTCTCTTAAGGTCATCAGTCCATCTCATCACAGTAAAGCTACTCACGAAAAATTAGCTTGTTAGCAATAAATGATGAAAATGGGCCTCGGATTCCTGACTAGTACATTTACGTTATTTTTTAATATTTAATTAAAAAGGAATGTAATCGTGAAAGATCTTATCTTTTTCTTTAAATTTTTCCTGTTTTACATTATTATTTTTTTCGCTACGTTGGGGTATTAGCCAGTCCCATATAAAATAGGTAGGTATTTTGAACCCTTACATTTAATGTAAATTTCTTACAAACAAACAAAACAGCTAAGACTTTATACGCATATGTGATATATTACTTTTTGTTACTTGTATCGATAATCTTGCTATTTCGCCGACACGCTATTTAATGACGTTAATGGCACGTCACAAAATCGTCAAAATAAGACATCAATGCCGTCAATTTGGCACAGTTTATTATGGGTTAATCGATATCTATAACATATACAATTAGGGAAGTATCCCAACAGTACGTCTTAAAACTAGCTTTATAACTTTACACAAAAACGAGCCTGCTAGATACGAGGATTATAAAATATTTTTTTATGAGTAATTTCTCTATAACATTCCTAAATGTTATAAAACAACACTTAAAAATGTAAAGGAAACATAAATTCTACTTAGTTAGGGTTGTAAAAATGGTAATTAGGGAACTTCTCTTTTAAACCTTATTTGAACGTCACCTAAAGATAATTCGCGATAATGTGCTATGTAAATAAGTTTTTTGGCTCTTAAAATATCGAAGGTAAAATAAAAACAGACAACCTTGTGTAAATCCTTCAAGTAGCTGAAATTGATGATAAACATCTTTTATTTAAAAATAATTAAAATGTTAAACATATTTTATTTAGCCAATCAACTGCTACTAATGTAAAAAAAGTATATTCTTACATTCTGCCTTGCCATTCTTGTCACATGAGAAGCTAGGGAATATATGGTCACTTCCAGTCGATCTTCTGGGTGTATTTCTTTGATTTTCGCGGTAAATTTGCTGGCTTTATATACTACAAAGTTAACAATTTCAATTTTGAAACTGATTTTTTTTCTTATTTCAGCCAAGTCGAAAGCGGGAGGAAGCACGTGCTTTACAAAACTTAAGAAGAAAATTTCAGGCTGTGAGAGTTTTGCAAGCTAATAGGGCAGAGCCTGTTGAAGCTTCGTCTTGTGCCAATAATAACCTTAGTCCCGAAGAACTTGATAACAGGCCTTATCTGCTAAAAAAGGTAGGAATAATATATGCTCATTTAAAGACTTATACTACCTGCATATATTTTATAGAATTTTTTACATATAATCCAGTCGCCAGAGACGTAAATGCCACTCAAACTAATTTTGGCAAAAATATTGATTTTAGGATCTCAAAAAAAACTGCAAGAAAGTGTTTACCACTTTTACCTCCAGGCTTCCTACCAAAAACCCCCTCGTAGGGGGGCAAAAATGCAAAAAAATTGATTTACTAAGAACCTGTACGCGGTAGAGAAAAATCTTTTAAATAAAAAATGTAGCTGAGATAATTTTAAACAAAAATGGTAATTAGCACTTTTTATGTAGAATAAACCGTTCTCTCACAAACAACGGTAGAAGCGACTGTCGATTTTGAATATCTGTTACGCGCGAAATCAATGTTCAATAAAATTTCTAGCAGTTTAACGATAAAAATTCGATATCTTTTGATTTAAGTGTTCTATCGACAAAAAACAAGATACCTTTTAAAGGTAAAGAGTTTAGCTTTTGTATGCAATTTTTAAATTTTGCTGTAAGTAAACTTAGGTTTTATGAAGGTGTTAAATAAATAAACCTAGCGCGATTTTTGCCATTTTTAATGGTTCTTTTGAGATCAACACAATCTATTCCTTTTATTGACTGGCCACTATAAAGTTTCGACTACTAGTCCCTAACCTTCAAAACTTATAGCATGAATTTGTAGTTTTGAGTTTTGGTAACAAATGTGAGGCGTTTGAAATATGGGTAAAAAACGCTGGATTTAAACTTTCATATAACAAACAATCTAAAACGTTTAAAACTTTTTTTTTTTTAATTAAACTAGTACGTTTTTCAAACGAAACAAACTTCTGCTATAAACTTTATGCAAAACCGTGTTCTTGGAGGCATTTCCCGTGATGTGCCATCTTTTGAAATGTAAATCATTAAAGTGCGTTTTGTATTGCATATTTGTTACCATAACTCAAAATTGAAATTTCATGTCATAGGTTTTAAAGATTGATCTCTAAAAATGGAAATTTTACTACGACTGGTTAAAAAAAGTGATCAATTTTATTGATCTCATGAGAATCGTTAAAAAATAGCAAAAATCGCGCCACATTTCTTTATTTAACAGCTTTATAAAAACTGAGTTAATTAGCAGCACAATACAAAAACTGTATAAAGAAGCTACTTTAAAACGTATTTTAATTTTTGTCGATGTTTGTCGCTTCAAGCGTTGTTTCTGAGAGAACGGTTCATTCTACATAAAAAGTGATTATAGACATTTTTTTCTTCTTCTTCTTCGGGTTCCTTCTCCTAGCGGAGGTTGGAAATCATCATCGCTATTTTAACTTTATTGGCCGCATTTTCTGAATAATTCTAATGAGCTGCAGCCGAACCACTCTCTCAAACTTCTTAGCCAGGACATTTTGCGTCGTCCTGGGTTTCTCTTCCCTTGTATCTTCCCTTGCATAATCAACCTCAGTAATACGTACTTCTCACCCCTCATTAAATGTCCCAGATATTGAATCTTTCTAATTTTAACAGTTTTTATGACTTCACATTCTTTCTTCATTCTTTGTAACACCTCTATATTAGTTACTTTTTCAATCTACGATATTTTATGCATTCTCCTGTAGCACCACATCTCAAAGGAGTTTAATTTTTTGATTTCAGACTGCTTTATTGTCCACGCTTCCATCCCATATAGTAAAGTAGAGAAGACGTAACAACGTAGCATTCTTGTGCGAATCTCTAGATTAAGGTTACGGTTGCAAAGTAATTTCTTCAATTTTATGAACGTGTTTCTTGCCATTTCTATTCTAGATCTCATCTCCTTTACTTGATCTCCATCTTCGGTTAGCCACGTTCCTAAATATTTATATGTTTTTACTCTTTCTATCGTTGTATTATCGATGATCAGGTTATTTACATTTTGTGGTTTTTTTGAGAATATCATTGATTTCGTTTTCTTGAGATTCATTTGCAGTCCGTAACTTTCACATGCATTGTATACATGTTGTATTATGTACTGTAGATCTTCCATGTCACTTGCAAATATGACAGTATCGTCGGCATATCTAATATTATTAATGCTATTTCCGTTGACATAAATACCTTCCACGATATCCAATAAAGCCTCTTGAAAAATCACTTCACTGTAGACGTTGAATAAGAGTGGTGAAAGGATACTCCCTTGTCGAACTCCTCTAAGTATACTTACTTCCTCTGTCAGTTCTCCTTCGACTCTTACTCTTGCTTTCTGGTTTTGATACAGATTCGATATAATTTGTAGATCTCTACTATCAATGTTTTTAGTCTTAAGAATACTTAAAAGCTTCTCATGTTGAACTCTATCAAAAGCTTTCTTGAAATCTATAAAGCAAGCATATATGTCCTGATTCATATCCAGGCATCGTTGTGTCAGAACATGGACTCCAAATAATGCTTCTCTAGTTCCTAGACCCTTTCTGAAACCCATCTGTGAATCACTTATTTCTTGTTCTAATTTCATGTGGATTCTGTTATGTATGATTTTAAGGAAGGTTTTCAATGTGTGGCTCATTAACGCAATTGTTCGATAGTCATTGCAATCTTTAGCATTTGTGATTTTTGGAATCGTCACAAAAGTTGAGAGAAGCCACTCTTTGGGTATGTGTCCCGTCTTGTATATGGAGTTAAAAAGGTCTACCAAGACATCAATATTATCTTCATTAATTATCTTCAATAGTTCAATTGGTATTTCATCGGGTCCTGGAGATTTTCTGCCTTTTGTGTGTTTTATAGCATACATAACTTCCTCTTTCATTATTTCTGGTCCCGTGGTTTCTCCGTTAACTTCTAATAATTGTTCTACTTTTTGATCATAAAATAGTTGTTCAATGTATTCTTTCCATCTACGTAGTTTGTCTTGCGTTTCAGTTATAATGGTACCATCTGCATTTTTTATTATCCCGATTGGTTTGTTACGATTTCCTGAAATCATTTCTTTAACCTTCTTATGGGTGTTGAAAGTGTCATACCTTGCCTCACATTCCTCGATTTCTTGACATTTAATGGACATCCATGTTTCCTTAGCTTGTATTATTTTCTGTTTTATTTGTTTATTAATTTCTTGATATTTAATTTTATCTTTGTTTTTATGTGTTCTTCTTTCGTTCATCTTTTCGAGAATTTCTTGTGTCATCCATTCTTGTTTGGCAGCTTTTGTAAATGTTAAAGTTTTCCGTCCCACAGTCTCGATTGCGTTCTTTATATTCTTCCACTTTGTGTCAATATCTGTAGTGTTCTTATTTTGTTGTTTTATTTCTTGGATACTCTGATTTATTTTGTTTTGAGTTTCTTGGTATGTATTTGGTTCTCTTAACTTATCAATGCATATTTGTGGTCTAGATCTTTTCATTAATGGTTTTCTCAATCTTACATTCATATTTGCTACTACTGGGTTGTGGTACATTTACATTTTTTTTTACATATAAATATATATATATATATATATATATATATATATATATATATATATATATATATATATATATAATACATTTATATATTATATTATATATACATTATATATATATATATATTATATATACATATAATACATTTTTTTCTACGCTTACATAATCTTTATTTATTTGTTAACAATATTAAATGTACAATTATTATAAGCTATAGTAGTTTGCCCATTCTTTTCTACCAAAGCATGATTTTGTGTGTTGTTGGCGTGTAGCATTTGGGAACTCAAAGGTCAAGCTTCGTTTGTTGTTCTGAGATTTTCGATCAAGTTCTGGTGGTGACTGGAATCCAGCTGCAGATATGGTATTAAGGAGCTTGCATTTGAGTGGCGCGTTAATTTAATTACCTCCTGTTCAGAAACAACTTGCTTAAACAAGGGTGACAGAGCTAAAGATCGATGAGAATATTTTATTTTATTTTTCGTCTATTCCAATCTATGTCCGCTTAGATACGGTGTTGATTCCAAGTGGACAGTTTTTGAACCAAGATCCATCCTTCCAGTTGGGGTTAACGGCAAGCAAAATTTTGTCCGATAAAATCGTTGGTCCCTTTTTTCCATTAATTTCAAAAATAATCTAATGGCATAAATATTCGTTTGATGAATTTCTTACTAGCCATTTGCTGCTTGCCAAACTTTTTGAACAGCCTTGATTTGCTTTGGAAAAAATGCTGTTGTATTCAATTCGGCTCATAAATTCTCCCATTAAATCAAATTCCTTCTGGAAAAAGTAAATATTGCAGTTTACGGCCGTATTACCTCTCCAAGCAAGCTTAAATGAGCAAAGGCGAAAAAACTTTTTTTGTGCTCCATCGAAGGTTTTCTCGTCGTAGCTTTGGATGATTTTTAATAGTTCTTTAGTGGATAATGCTTTTAAACTCAAAGAGTACATTTGAAAGATATATCTATGAAAGTATCGAATTTTATGCCGTACTCCTCAAAATATTTTTCTTGTACCATTTTTGCTGTAGTATTCCACATTGACTTTACAGATGACTTTTTATAGTCTTCGCCATTGCCTTTTTTTCATGTTAAAGGCATAATTTTTGCTAGTTCCGTTATGGTAGTACTTACATCTTTCAAGTGTAAAATTTCTCACCCGTAGGAACTCTAAAAATTGGATCCAAATAGAGCTTCTGGACCTCTGCGTGTTCAATGAGATATTTTCCGAAACCAATTTTTTGATTTCTTCACCTGACTGGCATCCAAATCTGGATTTTTTGACTGAATTTATTATATCTGTCCAAAATTGATTACGCCTCAATGACGTTTGTCAAGCTGACAACAATAAAATTACCAGACAACTTCGTGTCGGATTTGGCATAATTTTGTCGCTGAGAAATCATGGACAGGAAGGAGTTTTGTTAGTAGGAAACGTGGCGTTGCTGTGACGTTTAATTAGTTAAAAATAGTCTAATGGAATAGTCGATTAAAAAATATTTCTTTAATTTTTTGTATAATATTTATTTTAATCAATATTTATTTCATTCATATTTTCTATTC